CTTCTCCGGCGGCGGCGCTAGCAGCCTCCGCTCGCGGTCCGCACCAGAAAGCGTCCCCCTCCCGGCACGCACACCCGGCCGCCCGGACGGGAACATGCGCCACCGACAGGAAAGTTCCGCTGAGTACAGACCTGAGGCCGTTCTTTCCCAGGGCTGGGTGTGTGTTGATTTCTCCCTGGATAGAGCCATTTATCTACTACAGAGAACCTTTTCAGGGATAAATGTGGCATATCCCAGGCCAAATTTGCCTGGAAATGGTTCTAGGGCTGGGTCCATCTGGACGAGTTTGCAGCCGCCAGCCACCAGCCACCAGAGAGACACACCGGCCCTTTAATGCCTCGGTTGTTTCCTCCTAATTCCTCACTTGGGGGGAACCTCTGAGGTCTGTTAGGCTTGAATGAGATGATGCATGCATATGCCTGGGGTGGAATATGGGGCTTCACTGGGGCATGGTCATTGCTGAATCTGCCAGTGGCGACTGCTCCTTCTACAGTCGCCTCCAACACAAGTTGTGCTCGGCACTCAAAGGGCCCTGAGATTGATGTACCACATAACTCTCACCTTTTCCTCCATCCCTCCCTACCGACTCATTTCCAGTTGACTGAAGCTGTCTTCAAATTTTCCTAGAAGACAGACAGAGGCAAGAAGGGCCTTTCCGGATCACAGACACTCAAGTGAGGGTTAAGGGTGCAGATTCTCGTCCCTAAGGTTGGAATGACTGCCGCGTTGGGCTCCAGTTATGGAGGACAGCATTATTATCAGCTCTCTCCACTACAGCCCCAGCCTATCCTTCTCCCAATACTAACTTTCCAATAAACAAATATTAGCAAAATTATGAAAAAATTATGAAAGCAGATTTTTTTCGGAAGGTTTGTTTTCCTTACAAAATCAAAAAAATAAAAATTCCTTTCTCAGGCCGGCAGGTCACGGTATGGTGGTTAAAGGAGCTGGATTCCCACATGGCCGACCGTGGTTCAAGTTCTGGATCTGGCGGCTTGCTTTCTCACTTTCTCTCTCTCACTCTGTCCCTTTCTGGTCAAATTGAAATAAGCAAATAAATAAAGTTAAATAAAATAATTCTTTAAAAAAAATCCTTTCTCGGTTCGAGTCCCGGACCCTGGTGGCTTGCTTTCTCACTCTCTCTCTCTCTGTCTCTTTGGTCAAATTAAAATAAATAAATAAAGTTAAGTAAAATAGTTCTTTTAAAAAAGAGGAAGAATTTGGCTTCAAAGGTTTAGGACCAGCCCATGGTAATTGGATCCTACGTGGCAGAGAGTCTGAGTCCAGACATAGCAGCTTGAGAAATACACTGGGCATGTGGATGTTTGTGCCCCAAATCTCAAAAGGGTGAAGAAATGAAAAAGGGATTCCCTTCATTTCCATTTCCCATGGGATGGGTACTTTCTCACATTCCCTCTCTCTGTTTCTCTCTCATAAGCACATGCAGTCTTTAGCATAATTTAAAAAAAAAAAAAAAGGTTGTTCTAGCCTGTTGTGTTCATAGAAACACCTGAGTCTGGGTAATTTATAAAGCATAAAGGTTTATTTACCTCACAGTTTGGGAGGTCAAGGGGCCATGTCTAGTGAGGGTCTTCTTGCTGATGGATAACATGGCAGAGGACCTCACGTGGCAAGACAGAACAAGGGCAGAGAATGTGTCTGTGTCTCTGTCTGCTTCTAAACCAATCATGGGGTCCCATCCTGACGCCTAATCATTTTGCAAAGCCCCTACCTCTTTTTCTGTTTTAATATGCTATATGGTACATGTGTTTGCTCGAGAGAGGGGGAAAGGGAGAAAGCACCCCTCAGGGGGATAGCCATGCTTCAATCCCTTCTCCTCCAGTCCCCTCTCAGAATTTTGGGCATGCATGGGACCAGCAGTTAGCGTAATGGCTATGTCGCTAGATTCTCATGTAGTCAACAGCAGTTCAAGTCCTGGACCCAGTGGCTTAAAACTCACGCCAGGCGCATGTGCGTGTGTGCCCAAGATCCCGAGAGGAGAATGGAGGAGAAGGGATTGCGGTGTGGCCATCCCCCCTGGGGGGTGATTTCTCGCTTTCTGTCTCTCTGTCTGTCTGGTGAGCGCACGTGCCCTATAGCAAAAACCTCTCAAAAAAAAAAAAAAAAAGGATTTTGGGCATGCGCGCACACACACACACATCCAATGTTTCCAAGCCACCCAGTCCAGACTCCAACCATGCTGTTGGCCTTGTGAAATCCAGCAATCTTAACCACCATGCCATGGGCTGGCCCTGCCCTACCTCTTTTATTTGCTTGTTTATTTTAGTTTTGGCTAAAGGGTGTGCATGCTCACCGCGGGCAGGGGAGGGAGAAGGGGGAGAACCAGGTTCCAAGATAACAGAGTGGCACTGCTGTCTTCAACAGTCATCTCATTCTTCTTGAGAAGAATTTACATTTTCTGCTTGAATACCATTTTCCTTACCATCCAGATTATAATCCATGGGGAGATTTTTCTCTTAGAATTATTCGTTTTAATTTTATTTATCATTATTTATTTTCCTTTGACTGGTACAGGGCACATGCACTCACCAGAGAGATAGAGATAGAGAGAGAGAGAGAGAGAGATAAAGCAAGCAAGCGACCAGGTCTGGGACTAGAAGTGGTCAGCCATGTGGGAGTCCAGCACCTTAACCGCCATGCTTCCTGCTGGGCCCCCAGGGCCCACCCCAGTACCTAGTGAAGTCCCAGCATAATTGCTACATTGTAAAATTCCCCATTCAGCACCCTTTTTCCTTTTTTTCTTTTTTTTTTTTAAGGTTTTTGCCATGGGGCAGCATGTGCTCACCGGAGGGAGACAGAGAGACAAAGGGAGGAAATGAAAAATCACCTCCCCCAGGGGATGGCCATGCCTCAATCCCTTCTCCTCTGCCCTCCCCTCAGGATTTTGAGCACGTATGCACATGCGCCCAGTGTGATTCTCAAGTTGCCAGTCTGGAACTGAAATCAAGGCCAGC